CCTCATTGAGCTGTTTACTAGCCGCTCTCTTGACATTGCTACTTTCTCTACCTTTGCTGTTCTCCATAGACCATTGTTGGTCTGATCCTGTGCTAAAGAGATCTCACAAGATGTACGCATGGTCTCTGTTGCTCTGAACTGCATGGTAGAGAAATCCCACAGATCGTAGCTTTGCTGGAACAGAATGTGAATATATATGCATACAGGGTGTGTATATGTACATACTTCATATACACATGACATACAAAATGCATGTATGTATTTCACAGAAAAAACTCAGGGAACCAAGAGAGAAAAAAAATTCATGGATTAGCCAGCCTAGCAGAAGCTTCTCAACCTGTGTGATTGTATAAGTTTAGAAGCTGATGTATATGCTCACCTTGCCCATCCTGGACACATCAGAGCTAATGTACATGCAGAATAGTTTAATGCTTGTGTATTCACCAGTGCCAAGGGTGGACAGAATGTTTTCCATTCATTAGATGCAGCCTTATTGAAAAGGAAAGGAGGGTATGTACGTGGGAGTAGAGAGGAATTCATCCAAACTTGTGGGGGGTGGGAAGAATAAAAATATTTTATATTTGGAAAATTCTTGAAGTAAGTAATTGGACACACATAATTGCTATGTACTTAAAAAAAATGTAAATGTTGTTCATGTGCAAAGATTGTCCTTCAGTGCCGATATCAAGAGGGTACAGTAAAGTAGTCCCCAAATTTGTAAACATTCAAGTTGTGTTTTAAGTTGCTAACTTTTAATTGAGCTGAAAACAATGCAGTTGCTTGTCTCTGAAAGACAAAGGTTTACGTTTATGACTTTCTGAAAAGTTACATTCACTACCCTACAGCAACTGTGGTGAGAAACAGTGACAAACACCAGTTTCTTTGGAAAAATGCCATCGTTGATTAATTGCAATATATTTCATCTGTGTATAGATTTCTCAGAGTTACCCAATAAACACACTGGTTTCATTCTTTGGAGATTAACAATCTCTCTTGTGTGCTCAGGTTCTTTCCAGTGTAGTACACTGTTTCTTTTGAAGGATTTGTTTTCCTGGGTTGAACTTAAGAACTCAGAGCACCTTATCACACTTTCACAAGCTCGCTCTCTAAGGGGGAAAGAAGAGGAGGAAAAAAAGCCCGTCAGGGCTTGTGCCAGTTAAATCCGAGCTCTCAGGGGATTTGTTTTTCTTTTGGCGTCAGATTAGATGTTCAAACCAAGCAGCGTTGTGGGGCTGCGGGTGAGTGTCCACCGAACCCTTAATGAGGCTAATCCCACACCAGCACATTCCAAGCAGCTAATGGGTGCAAGGGCTTCGCGCGCGCTCGCGTCCCTGTGCTGCAGACGGACTGAGCGCCTTGTTCGGGGGGCAGTCGCCAATGTCTTGTTAGCGATGACCAGCGGCAGGGAAACGTGGACAGCAGAGTTTGCTCTGGGACAGACTTAAACGCCAAGCTTGATGCTCAGGTAAAGAGGGAGAAAAAGCGTTCTTGGTGGAATTTTGCAGCTAGGTTAATAATGAGAGAGACTTAACCTGGAGACCTAAACTATGAGTAAAATAAATCCAAGTATAAGTATGGCATGTACTTTAGGAATTCACTGTGGACTTTTAAGTTGTCTTACGAATTAATACTGAAGGAGGGTTTATGAAATAAGAGAAAGAGAAGTTTCTTGCTCTAGTACTCTTGAAAATACTTTGGTGTAGTTTTCTAAACTTTTTATTACATTATTAATTTACATTATAAACAAGAGTTTAATGCAGACTGTTTTGTTATGAATGTGTTGATTTCCTCAAGTTATTTTAATTTTGTTGTGAAGACTTTACAGCAAGTAACATAATTTATTACACCTCTGAACCTTGTATTTCATTGCAAATGGTCTCTGTCACAGAAAGATAACTGGCATGGGGCAGTGAAACCAGATGCTTTCTTTTTAGTTTGGAAGGACAAGGAATTATGAAATGAGTAAATCATGTATTTTGGCATTATGACGGTGTTGGGTAGGGTAGTATATTGTTTGAGATCTAAAAGCTGGAAAGTCTTTTTTCCGATGTAAATAAAGGACTGTTTAAATCAGACTATTATTTTTGCAATATTACATTTGAAGAAGTATCATGAAAATTCAAATGCAAATTATTATTGTATTAACATAGCTGGGTTTCTTTTCTACTTACAAAGACTGTATGAAAAGAGTAGGAAAACAAATTTTAAATGTCAGTTTCTTGGTTTTTGAAAGCCTGTTTTTTATACCTAAAGAAAAAAGTTTTCAGTGAGGTACCTGTTATGGCACCTTTTTGTATTGGATCTTGAGGCTTAGAGAAATTGAATTAGTGGCCATCTTTAGAAAAGATACATTAGGTCTATGTAGTAAGTAAATTCACCAAGATAAATTGCAGAAAAGTATGCTAAATTTATTAAATTTAATAAAGGATATTTTTAGGGACTCTTGGCAACATGAATGATAATCTCATGCTATGTAAGCTTTGCAGTAGGAGCTGATTTTGGATGCCAGGAAGAAAAGTTGGCTTATAAAAGCTTTTCATGCTTTCTAGAGAAGATAAAGGATATTGCAGGCATGTATGCAGTGTTAAAATAAACAAGCATGAAGATAAAACTGGCATTATTCTGCAAGTGTTCTTTTTTTTGCCAAAAAGTTACTGTGTATATATATACAACAAAGGGGCTTCATAAATCGGCAGCTTCTTACCAGTGTGTGTCGTCTTAAGGCAATATAGAAAGCTTGTGTACTCCTGGAGCTTGAAGGGGAGAAGTTTCAAGAATGTGTGGTCCATACAGTAAAGTATGTAATTTCAAATGTTAACATTACAATACCTGACTAGTAATTGTAACTTCCTTTCTTTCTCTATGACACTCAACAAAAAGAAAAACCCTGTTTTTCCCATGTAGTTTAGATTCAAAAGTTCTGCAGTAAGAGGGTCAAATGAAGTTCATAAAGTTCACTCCGAATGCCTTGACAGTTCTAGAAAGTTAGTTTATAAAAAGCCTTTCTTTGTCTGAAAAGAATAGTAAATTGAGAAATTACTCAATGGTGCACTAGACTTCTAAGCTGATTTGACTGTATAACATGCAATGCTGTGATGATGATTATTATTATTATTGCCTGAATCATAGGCTTGTAAGCATTTAGAAGTTATAATAAATTAACTTCAAGGTAATCTCTCTTATGTAAAGTAGAACTTTCTTATATTTTTCAGAATTTCTGTTTAACTGTCCTTTGCTTAAACATGAAACATACCTTGCCCCACATTCTATAATATATTAATTTTCTGTTTGTTACAGTAAGGAAGAACAAACAAATACAGTTCTATTTAATATTTTTAATAGACTTTTCTTTTTCCTGACTGTAAAAGTCATGTTAGGGTGTCTGCCATTCCTACAAAATATGAAGTCTAGCAGATTTTTCAAATGCAAATGCAAGTAGATCAAAGATAAAATATTGTTACATAACATGAGTGACAACTAGATCCAGTAAGGGATTATCTTCTGTTAAAAAAGGCAAAAGAATAACTTTCTATGTACTGAGAGTGATAAGTAATGAACGTAGCTAGAAATTCTTATGGCACTTTATAGTTTATACTAGTGACATTCATTGACTCCAAGAAATTCCCACAATGATTTTCAAAAGTCCCAGAAACACAGGTTTCTGGGTTTAAACATGAAAAACAGGATGTAGATTGAGTTGACAAAAAGGTAACATTAGATAATTAATAAGGTAACATTAGTTAGTAAAGGTAATAGATAGGTTAACTAACCTTACATAGTAAAAAGTAACATTACATAAGTAATGTTATAAAGGAAATTTTGTATTTTCTCTTTTTATAGAAGCAAGATGCCCGGATTTCCTTTAAATTATCTAAAACTCATTTCAAGTTACTTAACTCTCAGATAACTTAGTTATGGTTCATAGTTTATAGTTCTGTTTAAGCTGTGTAATTAAATAGGTAATTTTATTATTTAAATACATTTTATAAATACATTTTATAAAATTTTTCTGTTTTAAAAGAATTTTGAAAGGAAAAGTTTCAACTCATCTCCTTATTAAATGAAATAATTGAATTCTATCTGGGGAAGTCTTTTAGGGAGTTTAATTCATATTATATGGAATGAGGATAATTAAAAAGATTTCAGAACTCTAGAAGTCTCTTCTTTGTTGTTCTGGGTTTTTTTGCTTTCCTACCCATCTATCTTTCTTTTAAAAAAGGTATCTTGTGTATCTGAAAATTAGAGCTACGCTGAGGGAAATTACTTGCTTTCCTGCAAATATATGGGGGAAGATGAGTGTTATGAACAGGTGTAGCTTCATTGAACTCAATCAGTTTTAGAGGTTACATCAGCTGGTCATCTGACTCAATGTGTCAAAGTTTTTTGTGTCTCATTTCTGGAACAGATCTTCCTTTTTTTTTTTTTCCAAATTAAGATGTCCACATATGAAACTGTATTTTCTGGCTCCATGTTCAACAGCATTCTCAGTACTTGTATGAAAAATTGCATTGGAATAATGGTGTCATAAGTTTTACTGTGAAATATTTATGTTCTAGTTTCTGAGATTTTTTTTTTTTATTAGCTCTGACTTAGTTGTATCACTAAATGGAAATAGATTTTTTAAAGTATTTTTAATGAATGGGTATGTTTTTTCTCTGCCATGCGGAAAGCTTTACAGGTTGAGTTAGTTCTTCTCCAGTGATTCTTGGTATGAGAATATAAATGACAACATCGAAGTCATCTGGCTAGTGAATATGAAAACAATCTTAAGAGCTTGTGTTGGGTGCTTCTAGAAGGGAATCATAGTTCTAATGGAAAATGTTTGCTCTGTGCAAAATGTGCACTGTGTATCTTCAAAGTCAGTGAATTTTTCTTTTATGTTTGAAGTTTCTCTTCAGTTGTCCTATAACTTATGTTTAATAAGTGAACAGAGCTCACGATATTTCCATTCTCTTTTTTAGGCACAGAAATCATGGATAGAAAGAGCATTTTACAAGAGAGAATGTGTTCATATCATACCCAGCACCAAAGACCCCCATAGGTAATTGCATGCTACTTGTATGAAAAATGGAAGTCAGTTGCAAGGAAATGTCTATATATATGTATGCATACATATGGATATGGATATAAATAGTTTGTAAAGACTTATTTGATCAGAATGTGGTTGAATTGCATCTGGAGTGGTGGATTCCTATGGGCACTATTTGTTTACATTTCAAAATTTACTTCATCCAAAAAAAGATAAATCACAGATGGATCAGCACCTATGTTTAATTTCCTTGTCTTCTTAGCTCAATATTCAGTGCCTTGAATATTTACCTAAATTGAATGCATGACACACAATACTGTCAAAAGAAAATAATTACAGTGAACTACCAATTTAAAATAGGTGCTAGTCCATGCAAAAGCTGATCATTTGGCCTGATGTTATCTGAAGACAGTAGAAAATGTTCTTTAGTTTCATTTTGTATGTATTTAAAACAAAGCATGATTTCATTGAAATGTAGGAGAGTCCAAAGTAAACAAGTTCATAGAAAGAGAAGGTAATATCTGTACTATGCTGCTTCCACAAGTAGAGGCTTCCGATAGCAGGAAAGTGGTCAGCAGAGTTGAAAAGGGGGATTTTTTTGAAGATTTGTAGGCCATTTGAGATAGATTGGTTCCCTGTTCAGTTTATACATGCACGTGACTCAAGTTTTCTGTTTGTTTAATGTCATAGGTGTTGCTGTGGGCGTCTAATAGGTCAGCATGTTGGACTGACTCCAAGCATCTCTGTTATTCAGAATGAGAAAAATGAAAGCAGGCTTACCCGCAATGACATCCAGTCAGAGAAGTGGTCCATCAGCAAGCACACGCAGCTCAGCCCAACGGACGCTTTTGGAACCATTGAGTTCCAAGGAGGAGGCCACTCCAATAAAGCCATGGTAACCATGTTTTTCTCTTAGATAAATAATGCTGCTAGCACAAAAAAGGCATTCACAAAGAATAAACATCATTCTTTATTAACTTCATTTTAAATTATTATTTAGTGTAAGACCATACCATATGTTTTTAGGTATCATGTGCCAAAGAATTGGTGAACAGAATTGACTGTAAAAGCTAGAGTGCAGTGTAAGAGGGGCTACCTTTATGAAGACTGAAGACATACTAATGTGCTCCTATCTCAATTTTCTTCCAATGGCTAGCCATCCCTCTTTTTCTGAAAAAAATTAGAATTTAGCTATGGTTTCCCATTGCTGGGTGTGTCTGCAAGGCTGACAAATTTGAAATATACCAAATTTCCTTTAATATGCCTCCAGACATATATTGGAGGATAGACCAGTTAAACTTATTAGTTCATCTTTCAATGAAATAAGCAGCCCAGCAAGCATCTAAGCTAGGAACTGGGAAATCCATATTCTGCCAGAGATTTCCTTGAGCAAGTCACTTAATCATAATACAACGCTATGGAGCGACACCGAAGTCTATTAATCTGAAGGCATTGCTCCACTAAGTTGGAGAGGTGTTTCCAGCACCCACACTAACCCATGCATGTTATTTCTTGTATGTGGCATTACATGAAAGGAAGAATTTCTCTGGCTCTATCTGAACTGCAGAACCTGGGACACTGGGAATGAAAGATGAATATGTACCTAGCACACTGTGGCCAAGACACTGCTTTGGGCAGCAGTGAGGGCAGAAGCAGAACCCCTGGGTGCTCTGCAGAATAACCTGCCCAGCAACACAGTACCTTCTTTGCCTGAATTATTCCCAGCAGGTCTCTCAGATCTGTCATGGTACTTGATGGATCGGAGACAATTAAGAGCTCAGGTACTATGCCAGCAAGAGCCAGATATTTTCCTCGGATACATGGGTGCTGGAGATGGAACGATTACTTGAGTGCATGGTTCTGTTCACCCAGATGGATGGCTTATTTAGATAGAAACCAGAAAATACTGTCGCACCAAGAAACAGATAGATTAGGTCATTTCTCTGAGAGTGTCACAGACACCTTATGTTCAGTTGATAACCAAACACCTAAAAATCTGCAAGGCCATTACTCGAGAGAGACTCAGATTCAGTAAATAACATTTGTTTAGTGTGAATAAATTGACACCTCCCTCAGCACTGAAATGAACAAAACTGCTGTTGGTATCTTCACAAGGAGTGGGAACAAACCCAAATGCTTTTCATCAAAACTGAGAAAGATTCAGAGATATAGTAACCATCCTGCTATTAACCATATATGGGTACTTTGCATTAAATATCTTTATGAGAAAGGGTAGTCACTAGTGATTTTTTGGTGATGTCTTCGAAGATCGCTATAAAGCAATAAACTGCCTTGCCCAGACAAAAGTAATCTTGAACAGCCAAGAAATGATGAAGGGTTTAGGGAAGCTGTTGATACCAATTTCTCTAGAGGATTTCTGGTCTTTGTTGGGATTCTGGTGTCCTGGCACAGTGCCATAAGAAAACAGGAGATGCGCCAAGGTATATGCTGTGTGCTCAAAGAAATATGCTTGAAGTGAAACTGTGGAGGTAAAATTGGAAGGAAAGAAAAATCTTGTCACAGAGTGCAGTCAGGAATGAAACCATAAAGAATTTAGAAAAAAGGAGACAAAAAGGGATTAAAAATCTGAGACCTAAATAAGAAGTTAAAACTTAGGGATGAATACAGACATAACATTTATTGCTGGAAAAACTCTGGATTTATTTTGACAGTACTAGAATCAGAAAGATAGCCACATCTGCCATCTATTCATCGTCATTAAACCCCACCTGAAACATGGGAACAACCAAATTCCTCATTAATTAAATAAGTCTATCAAAGCTCCAGAAATTCATTCATCCCACTAGTGGGAAAAGTGCTTCAAATTAAACAACTCACTAAATATCTCTTTAATGGGTGTCCTGCTTGGTTACCACCAATGAGAAAAACTTCTTTCATGTGACCAAAGCACAAATAAGGAGGTTTGCATAACCAGTAATAGTGCATTTTTTTAAATGGAAACAAAATAAAGAGCTTCATTATACTATAGTGTATTTGTCACTGAAAGCAGTATGAAGGTGTCCTTATAGTCATATTTCCAGCCCCAAACGTTATTTTAGGGTAGATTATAGTCAAAAAGCTGCCTGACTAGTTGTAGTTTTATTAATAGAAAGAATGAAACTCTTATCTCTGAATTTACTGGGTACAAGGTCTTTCCCATGTTAAATAAAACTTAACAAATCAAAAGCTTTCTGTAAAAGCCAAGAGTTTGCTCAGTCAAAACAACCAACCAATTTTGCCAGCAGAGGAGGGGGAAAAAAGAACATTTAAATTATCTTGAAAACTAAGGCTTTGAAAAAGGAACAAGTATGTAATACTCCTTGGAAACTTTCTTGCTCAGACAATATAGTCTCAAACCCAAAAGCAGAGAAGCTGGAACATCAACAGGGGAGGGGGAAAGAGAGAAAAGGGAAAAAATGTGGTAAATGGACATTTGTTCTTTTCTAAAAATATTCTGAGTTATTTTCTAGCTACTGGATATCAAATATCACTGTAGCACACAAGCTGATTTTTGCTGACATAGTAGGTTAATATTGTGCCTATTGGCTAATAGGATAATGCTATAAAGCAGCGAGATTTAGCAAGCTGACCAACGTCAAGGAAAGCCTCAGAGGAAGAATTTGTCATGAAATTCACCACCTGTTCCTTACTTTATTTCCTGAAACGGATGCCCCAGAATGAAAATTATTAAGCAAGGGAAACACAGAACTGAGTAGTATTATCTTCCTCTGTGCTAACAGCAAAATTGGTAACTTTTTCTGAATCAGGCTACAAAGAATGAGATGGGATTTATTAATGGAAACCATAACCTCAGATTTATAATTGGGAAACTGGTAGTTAATTAGTGGAACAGATTAGTGCATGTAAGACTGACAGATAATTATTTTCTCCTTTGGAAGTAACAGAATTAGATTTTAATAACAGATATACAAATACAATAGTAAATATATCTATACTTTGCATGTATATTTGCAAGCCACAAATGCAGTGATATAATATCAGTTGCCACCTGGCAATTAACAGGGGCATCTTTAGCTATGAAAATGAAAATTACACTGAAATTATATTAGAACATATGGATTTGGAACAAAACAAAAGACCATGTAAGTTTACATATTGTCAATAGAACTGACTGTGCCATTAATTTCATTTCCACAGCCACATAGAACAAAAATTCTCAAGCAGCATGAAATTTGCTAATACCATTGAGTTGTTAAAATGTCTTCAGTGAGGCTGCACTAAGCTACTTAAATCAGTAATGTGAATAGCTGAGAGTGCAGCAGATTATAAAGAAACGTATAGCCAAGACTGAAACATTGGTTAACGAGATCCATTACTAAAGAGGCCTTTCTTTCAGTCTTCATGTAAGCACAGGTGATCCTGCAACAACACTGTTGTTTTTAGATCTCTTATCAATCTCATATTTCTTTACAAGTAGCTCATCCAATTAATGTTTAAGAAAGACATTTAACAGTTTTGGCGTTCACATTTACATTGTTTTTAAGGCAGATTTTCAATTTTGCCAACTGTAAAAAGATCTGAGAGGGATGTGTAAATACGTAAACTTTATTAACAGCTTTTACGATAAATCAGTGGATTAAAAAAAGGTAGGAAAATCAATAAAATGTGATCAGTTGGCTCTTAGTAGTTTAAGAAATAACATGGATAAGTTCATCTAACTATGTACTGGCAATTTTTTACTCTGAGAGCAATTATCAAACTAATGTGACTGATTCCATTCCAATTATGAGTAATATTCTGAACAATTTCAAAATAGATTCTGGTCATTAGCAGACCAGTTATGACAGTCTTGCTGTGATGCATTTTGCACTGAACTTGTGATCAAACTAAGCCAGTTTTTTTAATTTACTATCTGCTTTTTGGCACTCAAAAACCCCCTTCACATTCTTTAATTAGTGTGCCTGGATTCCATATCAACCTTTTTTAAAGGACCGCTCTTTACAGAACTGAAATTTCTTTGATCATGGTTTTTTCAAGATTAGGTGGAAGTTGGCTGTCTGAAAAGCGTTAGTGAGTTAAATACATTCCTCCTAATTAAATGCATTCCAATGATACTTTTAATATGCACAATAATAAGCTAACATATGTTTGCAGAAATAAAATTTACTTCAGTATTATAAGCTTAACCTTTCTTATGGTGCATGGAAACATGAAAGAACATCAGTAGAATTCCAGTGTACATAAACAGTGACATAAGTCTGCGAGAGGCTTTCAAATATTCAGATCATCAAAACGTTATACTTTATCAAGGATATTTGGAAATCAGCCACATAAAAAGGTATATTTGTGCTTTTAAAATATAATGAGTTTTATCAAAACTGTGTAAAAAGGATCTTAAAAGCCACCAGTGCTTTTGAGAGGAAAAATGAGAGATAATCCTGTAACTTGCATAAACCATGAAAAAGGCAGCAAACATTTTTTTTTTGTTGTAGTAAATTAATACTTAAGCAACATTTACTGAATTTAAAAGATGGTGTCCTACATGAAGAAAAAGTGGAAATAACACAGAAAAACATCTATCTGAAGCCCATATAAATCAATGAGGGTCCTTCCACTGACTATTTAGTGGAACTTGGATGAGGCCTTAACATGTTAAGAAGAATATTAACTTATAAAGAACCCATCCAGTTCCAGTCTAAGAGATTAATTCAGTGAGAATTACATCAGACCTGTTTTTTATGTGAAGGTCACACTTTGAGGGAATCAGTCTTTAGCTTGAAGAAATGTCTGCAATGATACGGTAGGTGAAATAGCCACCCAGTGCCTGCATGCATCAAAGAGAAACAAAAGAGCAACACTAGAACACAAAACGTTCTCTGAAGATATTTTCTTTGAAGAAATACAATAAAGTTTTGAATCTTTCTATTTTATTCGCTGAGGCTCTCATCTGCAATCATTCAGCATGTACTTTAATGAGGTAGCTGTGCTTAAGTAACAGAGTAGTAATTTTACTGCTCAGGAACTTTGCCTTTTGCCCTAGGTCATTGGGGGCCTACTTGCAAGCATCTGGCTGTTTGACTGATGATAGGCACAGTTATTTTTTGGGAAACTACTTGATAAAAAAGTGAAACAACTAGTGGCATCAAATGGTACCCTTGCTGACTACTTCTGTGCTAGTTTAGGGATCAAATGGGCATGACAGCTTGAACTTGATGATTTATCATTTCACAGTGTTATGCTGATGTCAGTCAGGTCAGTCCATAGGTTTTGTGGGTCAAAACTGTGCTTTTGCTTCCTAACCTTGGTAATGTTATGTTAATGGTTGGACTGGATGATCTTAAAGGTCTTTTCCAACCTAAATGATTCTGTGATTCTATTCTATGATTCTATCTTGCTCTGCTCTGCTGACACGTAACAACTGAAGTCTTGCATCCTATCCAAACACCACTTCCATAAAGAAGGGATTAAATCATTTACCATTAGAACTGACCATTTCTACAGCTGACAGATACACCAGACATGGACTTTCAGGGTAACAGAGTGGTAGTTTAGCTTAGATTTACATTTAAATTTCAAATCTGCCCCCGGAGGCTATAGCAAAAGAATTCAGGAACGGCAGAAATACTCATTAAGATTCTAAACAAAGACTGAAAAGGCAAAATATTCTGCTACAAGATTGAAAGAAATTAATATTTAATATGGACAAAAATGGCCTTAAGAGTGTTTATTCATAATTTAATGCATACTTTGAAAGTGGTGACAAAAGAATTCTCTTGTACATACTAGTTAACATGTTAAGTAAAGGCAAAAGAGTAATCCCAAGCATACCAAACTGAGAATGGCCTCTGTAAGAGCAAAAATTAATCAGTCATAAAAACTGAGGCCTGTGCACATAAGAAAAATCATGGTGTTTGGTGCCATTGCCCTTCTCAAAAAACTTCTAAAACAGTAAAGCTTATCCACAATGATTTAAATTTTAATTTACATGAAAAAAACTTTCAGATTTGTTTTTGCTTAAATTTCCTCTTTATAAAGCAATAAGAATTCCTATGGTAAGTATAGAGGAGTTTTGCCTGCAGTATAAAGAACAAGCAGTTGTTTGTAATAAAAGATGACTACATTTCAAATAAATGTAAGAAAATATTTCTTCTAAATTTGTGATTCACTCTATAGATTTATATTTATTGAAATTCAGAGGTCTTAGTGGATAAGAAAGTGAAAGAGATTTTTGCCAATTAATAAATAGTCTGAAGAAGGTAGGGACAGCAAATTCACACATTCTGGGGTATAAAACAATGCTAAGGAATCAAAAAACCAGTCACTGGCTGGATTAGATAATACATATCTAATGACATTTGTGCCTTCATCTTAAGATCATCCTGGATGATGCAGTGGCCTCAGTTTTCAGCAAATTTGTATGGCCATTACTAATATGAATTCACTTTAATTATCTTCTTAAAACTTCCAGTGTGTCTTCACCAAAAACCAGAATAACGTACCAGTGATCCCAGAACGTAATCTCCATAGTTTGAACAGCAGAGGTTTCTTGTAGGTCCCTTGAAGGATGTTGTCTATCTATTAATGCCTGCAGTGTTAACAAGGCATTGCCCTTTGCAACTCTTTTTCCCTAAAAGCAGAGCAAAGAGAATAAGAATCAGCCTCCTTACAACCCCTCTGGTGTGTTAAAACTTTGACAGCCCTTGAATCCTAATAAAAATTATTAGTTTCACCATCTGGTCAGTGGGATCAGATGCCATGCAAGATTCTCTCAACTCCCATGTAGAAAATTGAATGGGCAGCTACTGAGGAGCAGTTCATGTGTATATAAGCTCAAGGGTACATTATGCTCTTGCCAGACATGAATATTTTATGTTCTTTGTCCATTAGCTGTTATGAATCTGCCTGGCTGCTGCAGAGAACATTACTGCTGCACTGGGGTGAATGTGCATTCCCAAATTCTTGCTCAGCTTTTCATTTGACTGTGTCCCCCTTGCTTCCCTGTAACTATTTGCCCAAATGGGCTTCTGCTTCCAGAAATGTTAAGAATGGCTGCTCACTATGTAACAATCCATTCTTGCAAAGAAACCTGTCCACTAGCAAGTTCTTCTGGACAAAGTCAAGTCCTTATTTCGTATTCAACTAGAAAGGAGTTCACTTTGCTGTCATACAATTTACTAAAAAAGAACAATCTTTTGGCAAGCAAAACTGATTAGACATGTTAAAAAAGGAACAAAATGATTACATACTATGTGTGGATATTATACTACCTGGCATGTTACAATAAATAAGTTAAAACTAGGCATTCCTCTAGCTGAAAGCAAAGGTGCCTGTGTTATACACCTGATGGCTGTGCTGACAATCCGTCAAGGGAAAGACTACAGAAGTAACTCTGTGTGAATTGTTTCAATCAGAAGTTTGATAGATGAGTGGCTTTCTATAACCTATTTTATTCAATTAAGAGGGTCCTTCCAGATCTTACCAGCTATAGAAAGAATTTTATCCTCTTACAGCCTGTTTCTGCTATGCAACTAGAATTCAAAAAAGTATCATCTGCCCTGTCACGGGCTTTGTGAAACCCTTCATACATCAGCAACAGAAAGAGCAGGAGAAAGAGCCCAGAGAGAAAGGCTTGTCAGGAAGAGACAGGTATGTGTGCGACATGGTAGTGCTGTAGAAATTCTGAAGTTGTTATCTTTGAGCACACACAGGTGGGCATGATCTGCCTTGGGGCAAAATGCTGCAGATGTAGCACAGAAGAGCCAAGAACTGGAAATGTGTAAATGTGTTTCAAAGCACTTTAGGGTCCTCTGCCTTGTTAGCCAAATTCATGAATATATACAAATCAGTCTGTAAGTCATAAGTTAACATTCATTCATCTGAAAAGTACCTGTTTAGTAGCCTTGCTCAGTTTAAACTTATGTGTGCTTTAACAACCAAGCTTGTTTCAGTTATTTCCTACCTTTTGAGAGCTTGATTTTGTTAATTTGAAAATAAGATGCATAATAAAAAAAATAAGTGAATGCACAGTTGTGACTCTGTCTACCTAGGTCTTCTTTGGCACACCACTTAAATTTTTGCTCTAGTTTTTGCATCCATAAATTAAAGACATTTATCTTTCAAGCATTGAAACAATTAATAACTCAATTTCCTAAATAAAGGAAAATTGACCAGCCTGTGAATTGCAAGTGTTCCATTATTTTTAGTTCCCTAGTTCACTAACTTTTGAAAAATCATCAAGTTAGCAATTAGTTAGTGCTTGTGTCATAAAGGTTGCCTTTTTTCAGTGATCTATTGGGCATAGATCATATGTATTAGGAACCAGTGAGTATAACCAATCTTTTTTTCTCTACTACTGCCCTTATTTCTGCAGTATGTACGTGTGTCTTTTGACACAAAGCCTGACCTTCTTCTGCATCTGATGACCAAAGAGTGGCAGCTTGAGCTCCCTAAACTTCTCATCTCTGTGCACGGGGGCCTTCAGAATTTTGAGCTTCAGCCAAAACTCAAGCAAGTCTTTGGAAAGGGCCTCATTAAGGCTGCTATGACAACTGGAGCATGGATATTCACTGGAGGAGTAAACACAGGTAACAGCAACATTGAAATGAAAGCACAGTGGCATCTAGGAGATTTCATCACAGAAAAAAATTAGGACTGGTGAGATTAAGAAGACATTCCATGTTTTGTTTTATTAGTGTTGACTGTACTACATGCAAACAAGAAAATGCCAAGTTCATACCAGCCTGGCTGCTACCAGAAAATAAAAGGTTTGCTAAAGCATGAAAAGCACACTGGGGAGCTGAATATAAACCCTCCTGTGAGGCAGTTATATTAGTATATTGCCAGCGAAGACTTTATAAGATCAACAGTAAGTTACAGGGAGGGACTACTAACCAGAAACCAGAGTAGTCAAACTGTTATTGGATAAAAAGGAAAAGAAAAAAAAAGACCTTTCTTTTCTCTTATAAGATGATCTGAAGTATGAAAGGAAAAAAGGTTCTCTTTTGTGGACTTTGTGGAAAACCATATTGTGAATAAGTATCACTTTTTCCTTTGTAGTAGACAGCCTGAACTAATTTTTTTCTATTACCCCTGCAGCAAGTGTAATAACATTGCCATTACTATTCAGAGTTAGGAACATCTGTAACATACCATATGGGTGTCCTGATGACCCAAAATAGCAGCTGGCGCAGCTCTGCTGGGTGACAGTATGTAGATTTTAGGAACAAGCTGCAAAACATAGTTCTCCAGATAAAAAAGGTTGAGCAGTGGCTTCCCAGTTACCCTCCCTGAAGGAGTCAGAAAGGAGGAGAGAGTGAGGGGAAACTCAAAGCGTTCTGCTAGAGATAAATGCAAAGTTTTGAGCTAGGACATGTACTTGTAAATTCTTGTGTGATTCTCATTTGCTGCAGTAACAAAACTATAATTTATTACTTTAGTAATACCACAGAGTGTATCCTCTTACTGTCTATGGAAAACATTGTAATCACACTATCATGCATTAATTTTAGTGCATTGTGGATCAACTCCTACATATTTGAATATGAATGCTTAATAGGAGTCTTGGGCTTTTTAGTTTCCAAAGCACATCAAATTTTTAAAAAAAATCAGTTTTTTTCCCAGCAGCAATGCAAATAGCAAAGAAGATAGCTTCTGGAGTGTTAGATAGATAAATAGACAGACTCACATGTATGTAATATCCCCCACATCTCTGCCGAATAAGTAAGAAAATCAGGTTAAATGTTGACCTGTGTACTGTGGTGATAATAGTTATGCTAGTTGCCTGAAACACTTGTAGTGGTGATAGCAGAGACAGATATAAATTTTAGATTAAAAGCATATTAGAAAACTGTAGCTATTGTATGCTCATGGCAGTGGATTACCACAGAAACTGCAGAAATCAATCTACAGAAATTTTGTAAACAACGACTATGACATTTGCATTTGGCAAATGCATAACTGCTTCATACCATTTTTCAAATCATCGTACTTGCAAATACCAACACAATACCAATGAACCAGGAAAGTCAACATAATTACTGTTGAAAAGGATTTTTTTTCCTGTAATCAAAAATTGTCTAGACAAAACAAGTTCAAGTTGCTGTGTGTTATTTCAGAAACATATAACTCCAGAAGCAGTTCTGTGTTGTCAGTTACCTCTCATTGCTGTTTTTGATTTCTGGAGCAAAGCAGTTGATTGCTCCCAGGCTAGGTTTTCAAACTGTGTAGGTGAAAATTAAGTGCTTTATCTCTATGTGAAATTGTACAGATTGAGAATTTTTGAGTACAGTCAGTTCTGTTGATGATGAATTTTTAAATCAGATTTCTCTTAAGGAAAGGTATAATTGAAAAATCCTTAAATACTGCTGTTGGACTGAGAACCAGTGATGGACAGGGATGGTGCATACCTGGCTATAACCATGGCTGTTAAATACCTTAAATAAGTTCTTCTGAATATTCATGTCATGCCAAAAGTTGGTTATTCTAAATAGCAGAATTTTTTGCCGTCTGGACAGATTTTCTGCTTTGAATCCTTTGGGTTTCTGGATCGGCGTTTAATTCATAGCTGATTGCAGGTATAGGGTCTTGTTTTCCTTTTCCACCACAGGAAGGAAATTAGACTCCAGGACTTAGAAGATTTGTTAGGTTGTGGGGTTTTTTCTTACATGGTTCATTTACAGTGCAGAAAACCTACCACTAAAATCACATCTATTGTGTGGCTGTTGTAATTCCAATCCAGTCATCTTGAAACTGTGGAATCTGAACAAGAAGCAAACACAGAAACTGAGTAGCAAATAACATCCGTAGCAAATCCACAGGTCTTCCGCAGTGCAGCCACATCACAAAAATAGTTACTGATAGTAGGTAAAAAAAACATTTTATGAAAAGAAAGGAGGAATAGCACTTGTCCTCTGCACAGAGATACCACTGAAATACTGACAAAGCTGGCCTAAAGCATGCAAGGAGCGTTATCAGAAAGCATTTGGAAGAGAGCTGGGGAGCAGTCATTTTCTCTGTGCTAATTTCTGTTTTCTCACTGATCCCCAGGGGGGTTTCTAATACTCTACTGGAAGCTATCTCGGGTGACAGAGTTTGTTGGGAGGGAGTGGTAGAATAGCTCACCACAGAGTAGTGTAATGATGTTTTCACATTTCCATCCTTTATTCAGACAGAAGAGAACATGTATGCGACTTACACTTCGGGGGGGGAGGGTGGGGTACTTGTAGGGCGGGTTAATTCCTGTGTTTCTTTCTGTGCTTTTGGGAAGAATACAAATGCTTGCATGCACATATATTTGTGAACACAAGTGCAGATAAACAAGTTACAGTCAGCCATCAACATATCCATATTTCTAGAGCTGTGTAATTTTTTCTTGCTACTTAATTTAATATTTTTAGATTAGCTAAAATGTACTTATAGTATTACTGTAATAATAATTAATAGGAATGTATTCATAGCTTTACTTAATTGTAAGTATATGCATGTGTGTTCCTTAAAAAAAGAATTCTATACTAAATCCATACCATAATGAACAGAAAAGTACATAATTACAAATTTCTATTTTATGCTGTTTCTTTCCCAGGAGTCATTCGACATGTTGGAGATGCGCTGAAAGATCATGCCTCAAAATCTCGAGGGAAGATCTGCACCATCGGTATAGCTCCCTGGGGGATTGTGGAAAATCAAGAGGATCTGATTGGCAAAGATGTAAGCCCTATATGGACATAGATCACCTCCAATATATATAAATCTTCCAGTTATTTTTCCTTTCTTCTCCATCCCTCACTTAACAATTCCTCATAGAATTAATGTCTGCAGCAAAAAATCAATACACACACAGGTTTTCCATTACGGTTGATAGCAGTTTTGACATGGCAACAATAAAAATTCCTGCAGTGTATATTCTTTAAAAATAAATTATAAAAAATGTCATATGCTATTCTTGAAAATATATTAAAGTTTCATCCTTAGAACACTATGAACCCCGAAAAGTGCCTAAGAAAACACTGATTGCAAAGCTTGAAGTCTGATCTATTGTGAAACAATACTATGATGCATTGGTTAAACTCAGAATTACAGACTGTCTCCCATATAATATATGCTGTGCTATACATTTTTATTACTGCAGTTGTGAAGTCTTATAAATGTATTGGACATGAGATCAGACCTCAAGGAATCATTACTTCAGTCACCTTCTGAAGGGCAGAGTCCATGTTTATTGTACTCTTTCACATCATTCTTCTCTTTTAAATCTATACTGTCACTCAGAAAGATTAACCCCCCAATTAATAGTTTACTTACACTGGTTATATGTTACCTGCAGCTTTTCTGAACCCTTTTTTTTACCTCACCTCTGGTTCATTCCCAAGCAATCTGCCTGAGAAACAGTGTCTAACTTTGAGTGGAGAAGAGTTATAGTCTTCATTCTGCATAATGAATGTTTTTCTTGTCTACATTACTCTAAACCATTCTTCTCTGTATGTTTGTCTGTTAGCAAGTTGGGGAGGGGAAGAAGATTCAATTATCAGTTAGGTCAGAAGGAATTACAAGGAGTATGAAGAAATTGATCCATCTGGAATTCATTGCAATTCACTACTAAAGTATAGCCATTAGGGGGAATTGTATTAGCATGGGGTTTTGTACTCTAATACCACCAGCTTGTATAATAGGGTTACCAGCATATACAAACTTTTTTTGCAGTGCAAAAGATGACTAGCAGAAATAGTTAATCACAAAGATGAAGTGCATGTTGTTAAAGAAGTGTAATGTACACATCAATTTCAAATAAGCAGTCTTTACTGACTATGCAGAGAGTTCTGGAAGCATTGCAAGAAGAAAGAAGGCAAGAAAGGACATCAAATTAGTCATGAATTTTGGGACATTGTTATTCCTCCATTAGTTATATCCACCTGTTGGAAAGCTACCTACTTCTGTTCTCAGCTAGTCACCACCTTTAAAGGGGCTCTGGAGCTGCCCCTCCCACCCCCGCTTTCTGATTTCTTTAAGAGACCTTTTCCTCTAAATATCTTTCTAATTTAACAGGAAAACAAGAAATTGTATGCTAACTTTTTTAAAAAAAAAGCTTTCTGGTAAATCAAAGAAGGTTAATACTTAGTCTGATCATCAGGCAGAAAGTGAAAAAAGTTTAAAAAACAGTAAATAAAACAAATTTGGATAAAGTCTTCCATTAATGCAGACACAATTATATCAGTAGGATTACAATTATAGGGTCATCACTAAGGACAAAAATAGTTCCAAAATGTAACTGTGATAGATAAAATTGAAACTTCTCCTCCAAACCTCCTGGCCCCTAATATTTTCATAAAGTGATTGATCAATGGCATGATGCAATGCTGAAGCACTTCTGGTTTTATCCATCTCTAATGCACATGTAATGGTATTGCTTTATGCTTACCAATATTGAATTTCATCTTCTGTTTTATTGCCTAGTCAGGCTGCTTTATGACGACTTTCTTTAACTCTTCATAGTCCACTGAAATATCTGTAAGCTTTTCACACTCTATTAACCCAAATACAACTGTGTTGAACAGAACATGACCCAGCTTGAGGTAGGCCACTTATGACATTAAATCTTCTTAGTAACACTCTGTTTGCAAAAATTAACTTTTCCTTCTTACTAATTTCCCTCCCTTCTCCTCAGCTTTCCCCCCTGTTACCCAATGTGTGAAGTTTCTTCAGAAGCATTTCATGAGGAAGCTTTTTGAAAGTTTTTGAAAATCAAAGTGTACTATATTGACTGGCTCATTAGAGGTGAATGCTGTGAAGTGAACCAAGAATGGGAAATATAAATAGTACCATAAGCATGTAAAATGAATCATCATTAAGCAAGAAACAAAGGCCACAAAGGATTATGTGTGGGGGAGGGGGAAAAGTCAACCAATAGTAAAAGGCCTGTCAAACTCCAGCATCAATGCAGCTTTATGCCTATATGCACTATGTCTAGTTAAATTATGATCAGAACTGAAGAGCTGTCAGAACATACTCTTCCAGCATCAGATGGATACAGAAAATTATCTTAGTCATGGGATTGCAGGGGGGAGGGAGTGGGGGCAGTTACTGCCATTGCACATGCCCCAGTGTATGTTGCCTCCCTGTGGCAAGTCTGGCATGCTCAGTAGGGCTGTGCATCCACTCATGCTCTAGCCCTTGCCTGGTCTGTATGGATCTTGAGGAGTTTTATTACATTTACCAGTCCAAATCAGTCAGCTCTTGGGAATCCCAAGGGCTTTTCTCAGAGTAATAAAGAGAACGGGCCAAGTTAAGCAAACTACTATTGTTGTTTGTTATTTGTTATGTTGTGATGGTTAAAGATCTCTAAAGAGACCTGTCTTACTCCAGTAAAAGCAATATAGCAGAAAATACTGCCCCTCTTAACACACTTAGATTCTAATTTAAAAATAAACTATGCAAGGGAAAGCTAGTTAGTTGCCATATTTCCAATCTTCTGATAGAAGAACAGAGAAAGTAAGATAGCTTGCTCAATCTTGTAGAAAACTTGGATTGTAAACAAGTTTCTCCCTACATACAGAGCTGTCCTTCCTTTTGAAAGAGTGCACTTTTTGAGTCTTGACAGCATATATGTCTTTCCTTTCAGAGTCTCTTCAGTCCTCATTTGGGTTTAATTCCTAGTCACCTCAGTAGGAACAGCACCTGGATTACAAAGAGAACACTGATTTTAGTACTTTCCTTTTGCTGAATGAAATCATTCAAAGAAGTTTCATTTTTAGTCCAAAGAAGCTAGTATTTGAGACTTAAATCAAAATATGCTTTTATTGTGCGACTCAGTGAAAAGGATGTTTCCATCATACTGTGATATGTCATTGATCAGTCAAGATGCTGTAGCGTATAGCCTACTAACTTAAATAGAATGCATTTTTTTAGTAATTAAAGTTTTGAGGAAAAAAAACCCTTTCTACATTACTACAAAACCCATGACACCCACTCTTCCATGCCTGCTATAAAAATCCTTCCATATGTAGATCCAACAGTTTGACATAAGGAGAAATTCCTAAATTGCCTCCAAATTTCTTGGGTTTTGTTTGTCTCCCTTAGAGTACTGTTATAGCCATGGTTTATAGTGTGTTTCTCTCCCTGTATTACTTCATTGATCTTTTGGTTATTTTCACTAAATAGAATATGGCACAAATGAAGCTCAGCAGAAATACTGGAAAAAGTCAAATAATTATTATTTTTAACAAAGGCTTTAGCCAGTGACAAGGAAGCAATAGCGGTCAGCTTTTATCATTTTGTGCAGCAGAATGCACAACACAATATATAAGCTTACTTTGTAGACTTGTGTATAAACAGATAAAAGTGCTACACAAAAGCAAAAAGTGTTATCAGAAAGGAAACTACTTACTCAGAGCAAATGTATATCTATGTAATAAATATATATTTATTAT